AAGCTAAAAATGGGTTAAATTATAGCTGACTGATGCCAGTAAGCCCAGTATAAAATAAACTTATCTTGATTGATCTAATTTCCTATGTCTCGAGAGTCTGGAAGCACAGTGCCAAGCTAGCCACCAAAATCTATGAAAATCTGTTAGTTTTCAAATGCTCTTCTGTGTTGAATTATTTTTCCAACTTTCAAGTACATAGTCAAATTCAACCAGTTCATAGAAGACACACATATTCACAGACATTGCAGATAGATAAAATGGCTACAGTACTTATGGCAATGAAATGCTTTTAAAGATGATGAAATAAATCCATCAATTTCAATAAAACAAATATTTTTCCCAGTCCGTGCTGGGAGTTTGTTGTAATGAGATTCTACTCTATATGTTTTGCACAAATTGTGACAAGAATAAGAATAGAACTGCTTTTTGCAACATTGTATTACCCTTTCAATGAAAGCACACAATTCCAACATCAGGTAGAGAGATTTTGAATTTTCAAACAGAGTATCCCAATTATTGAGATGCTCTTTGCTGTGTAGAATATTCAAATAAAACCACCCAGTATATATGCTATGAATTTAGAAAAATAATTTTCACAACTTATTCTGAGCATATATGGGCACGTGATTCTCAGTGAAAACCTAATGATATCTCTAGAGAGATGTGTGTATTTATCTGATTTTGGCCCAATTATCCTTCAGGACAGGGAAATTTTCTTGCCACGAAGGGAGTTGGCACTAGATTAGAGTTTCTCTTGAGAACAAAATTGAGGGAGATTTGTTCCAGGAAAATTTGTGGCACTACGCAGCAGGGGTGGTAATAAATCCAGGGTTGACAGTACAAGAATCCACAGCACAAAAATCCATGCCCTACACAAGCCGCAATAAGTCCCACAAGAAACAAAATACAAGGCCATCAATAAAAAATCCCAGGAGGAGGTGAAGGAAATGAAAAGTCTTCATCACTCTGGTTTTCAAAAGCAGTCCGTCATTGTTCCCCCACAGTTCACAACACAGTGGCCACAATAATTCTTCCTGGGTCTCTCAAAGGAAAAAAATATACCGCGTCGCACATCATACATATCATCCCCTCATTCAAACACTGCGGAATGAGTCAAAAATCAATCCAAAATTTCCGGAAGAGCCGCATCATCCCAACACAAATAACAAAGAAACAAATCATCCGACCTTCTGCGGCAATGTATCAAATAATTTCTGCGGTGGAGCATATTGCACTCAAAATTTGAAGAGATTTCCACAAAAATATTCGAATAATCTGTACTGTACTACACTTAATGAAGATGTCCTTTCGACGTCCTGAAAAACACAAAAATAATTTCATGGCAAAGCTGCGGCTGAATGGCACAGGCTTCGGAATCATACTCACGAGATCTCAAACCCTTTTTTTCTTTTTAACAGCAACCACAGCAGACATTTGATTTCACCGAACACTAAATAGCCTTTCATCACTCAATTCAAGAGCATTAAAAATTAATCCTTCTTTTGAGTCATTTAAGAAATCACGTTATGCCCTGAATAACTGTGCGTTGGATCCTGGTTGCCAGTTGCCACACACTCTCACTATATACAAGACCGATTACAAATTGGATTGAAAAGACCCTTTGTGTACTTTCCTAATATATGACCTATGGAGACATTTTGCAAAAACATCTTTGAAAAAAAGCAGAAGCAAACATTTTGGCAGATGATGCAACCATTCACATGGACATGAAGTAAATGAGAAAATTCTCATGGATACACCGAGGGAACAGGGATAAAGATAGTGAATTTTGATTTAAAATATAACCAATTTGTAACTATCAAGAAAAACTATTTGGAAGCAGATATTTTGAATTATCAAGAGAAACAATTATTTCAGTTTTAAATAAAGAATGGTGAGGATTACATTAAAATATAATAATTTGCAGTTCTCTCTTATTCTTCACATTTTCTTGAGAGTGGCCTTGAGCACTATGATACTTGAATAGTGATCTTCCTGAAAAGCCTGAAGAATGCTTGTTCAAGAATTGTTCTATAAATCTGAAAACACACATGAACAAGGATCATATGATCTTCAAATACTTCAGTCAAATCATAATAAGCTGCCACCATTGTTTGCTCATGAGGTTTGCTGCAATTGGAAGGGGTTGGTGGCTTATGAAACAGCAAAAATAATGTGAAAATCAAGTACAGTAATGTACAGTGTAATATGGAATACAATTTGCATAAAAATATCAAAAACGTTGGGATACCTAATTTTATGCAGCTACTTTTTTTTTTTTACAAAGAAATGAAGCATAGGATCTTTTTTGTGTGGGTGTTCTTCATAAACTGGAAAACTCTTGACAGAACTCGAATAAAGTTGGTTGGTTATGGAAGACAAAAGTCTTCTGCAGGACCATATTTCAGTTGTCAAAAATTTTGGCAGATGGAGCTTCAACAAGGTTCCCATAATACATTAATGACAGCTAATCCGAGGTGTCTCAAGAGTCAAGACTGTAGTTTTAATCTTGGAATATTTTCCCTGGGATATATTCAATGTTACACCATCCATGGCATGATACAGAACAAATGGCTACAGTATACTTGTATGATTGGCCATGTATTGATGAGAGTGCTGGCACCCACACCTAACCCAGACATATGATACATGTGGACTCTCCCTGGTGTACAACAAAATACAGGGACCACAAACAAATTCCTGCAGAGAAATTATTGCTGAAGAAAACCTCTATACAAGATGGGAAGAAGACCCTTTCGGGACCAAAAAAAGGTTTTAAAAAGAGGAAAAAAATGTCATACACAATATCATTGGAGACAAGAGTCCACCTGCCTCAGTTTCATACTTGTATATGAAAGAAATTGCTTCACTTTCCACTAAATTCCCATCCTTAAAATTCAACATTTTTTTCACCTGTTTGAATAATCAAAATAATGAAAATGCCAAAATAAGGATACAAACACTGCCATTAAATGTTAAAACAGCTGCAGAAAAAATTGCGACAGCAAAAGGGTTTGAAAAATCCCCAGTATTTCAATCAAACACAGCGTTCTTCGGGATTCAGTAGTGGATCCCTAATCTTAAAAAGCATTAAATTTCAAGAACCTGAATGAGTGAAGAACAAGAGCACATTTCAAACTCCCTCAAAATGGCTGAACTCGAAAAATTACAAAGTCAAAGTCAAGTATTTCACTGGGTTGTAAAACCTCATGAATTCTAGATCTTTGCAAAACAGAAGACCATTCTTTCCTACTGAATTTCTTTTGTGCTGAACTGCATAATTCTCTTAGATTTTTTTTTCAAACGGAGCACCGTTAATTCCGACGCAATTATAGAAATTTACTGCACACTCATTCGAGCATCGAAAATCATCATTAAAAATGACGAGGAAGAAACTTAGGTCAAGAATGCGCATACAATAAGGCCACACTGATTTATGATTTTGACAGAAAGAAGATCTCTATGAGAAGAATTACTCCTCGTCCTACCTCATCTCTTCACTTCAACATCGTTTTCCTCAAATCAATTTCGACGTAAACTCAATTATAGTCGGAGTTGCGCAGAATCATCACACACTTACTCTCACCGTCGCACGTCAGTGAGATGCTGTGAAAGTCAAGCAAATTCTCATGAGCTCAACATTTTATTAGTTTTTTATTTAAATATAATATTTTAGCTGAAGATTTCCTCTATTTCAATAATTATTTGAATTACTCTGCAGAGTACTTGGAGAAAACTACGAATTGCACGATTCAGTTTAAAAACAGGGACAAAGAAGTTCACAGCATCCCACTACGTTTTTGGCATTTTTTAGTCCCCGTAGTTGCTCAGAAAAAAATTAAATAAAACCATCATCAAACCTCCTCCCCGTTTCAATTCACGCGTTGTTCGATTCACCTAATACAGTGGGGCCCCGAGATGCGGACGTAATTGTTGCTAGGATATTATTGTCCCAATCTTGGATCACCCATATGTTGTACTGCATCACATTTTCCCATTGACTTCAATGGGAACATATATTTTAATTGGTTCTCCTGTTTATTAAAAAGCAGACGTGAAGTCACCCAAAAAAGTTGAATAAATATCGTTTCTCAACGCTAGACGGAAAATAACTGTGCAGAATAAAACCCACAGAGAATCTAATATTTTGGCATGAAAAAGAGTCCAAAATGCAAAAAAACAAGCACAAGTCTTGCTATCCTTTGCACATATGATGAAAAAACAAACTCTGAAAACAATTAGCACAAAATTAGCCTGTTCTTGATAATCACTTCAGAGATATTTCATGTTAAACTTATTTCAACTTTTTGTGAAGCGAAAAAATTCATTTTTTCTTCAAAAAAAAAAATCAAAATTTAGAAAAAAAAATAGTTTAAATTTTCCAAGAAATGCTGGGAAGATGTCCCAATAAATTAGTCATTTTCTTAAAGTTCCAAGTGTCCCGAGGCATCTGTATGTTGGGGTTCCAGTTCTACTTTACTTTTGTGCAGTGTTCCCCAACCTTTTTGGACCCACAGACTGTCCAACTTGCACAGAATTTTCTGTGTAACAGCAAAGTGTAACACATTTTTTTCAGACTCAAAGAAGTTTTGTTTGGAAGACTTCATGGCAAATATTCAAAAAGTTTATGCTTTTTTTTCAAAAATAGAGTAAAGAACCACTGCAGCATCTTTACAGTGGAATGTCTTCAAACAATTTGGAAAAGTGTGCTTTAACATAGATTTCTCATGACAAAAACTGAAAATATCTCAATTTATTCCAGCAGGTGAGAATTTGTCCCAAGTGTTATTAGGAGAAAAGTCAGCTTTTAGTTTTCATCACTTTCTTTCAGCTGCCATTAGATACAAATTACAGACTTTGTTGCTAGTTCTGATGAATTAAGTTTGTGGAAGAAAATGTCACGTGGACTGGAAAAAAAGAGAGATAAAAACTCCCCACGGAGGTTGGGGAACACTGCGAGTTGAATGCGTAAATCATAGGCACAGTATTCATCATCATCATCATCGCGAAAAGGCAGGCGACTCCGACCCCGCCCGCGTCGTCGTCATCGGATCCTGGCCCCGCCCGGCAAAATACGGCGGCGGCGGGTCATCGGCGCCCGACTCGGACGCCGACACGTCTTCGCCCAGCACCGCTCGACTCCCGCGCGACCGCCGCAACTTGGCCGCCACGCTGCTGGCGGCACTCGCCGGCCGCGAGCTCTCGTAGTCGGGGAACAAGAGTCGTTCCCGGTCCGGCAACAGGCCCGACCGCTCCGACGAGAATCCCGACTGCTGGCCCGAGTTCTCAAAGCCCGCGTTGGTCGGCGGGAACGGAGGGCGTCCGGTCTCGAAGTAGGCCTGGATGGCGATGCCGAGGACAGCGAGGAGGCTCCAGGTTCCCAGAAGGAGCACGTCTGAATAAATAATACATTCACAATACAGTCATATGGCATTACCATCATCATCAGCGGATGACGTGGATGAATGATGGAATATTGTACCTGTGACTTCAAAAATACAGTAAAGTAAAGTATGTCCCTTAAAACAATTGAGTGCCACCCCCGCACAGCGCCACAAATTGACCTGGAACAAGTCTCTCTCAGGTTTTATAATTTTAGAGTCTTTCAAATGATTTTTCAAGGTTCAGGGATTTTTTTCCAGATTTCAAGAAATTTTCGAATTTACAGCAAGATGATGAGTGAAAACTTTCCAGTTTTGGCCAGAGTTCTGCACCCATGTCACAGAGTGCTTAAAATTTGCCAGGACAGCTGAGAATTGGAATTGTTTTCTTGTTCAAACCATCATCTTTTCCACATCTTGTGAAACTTTTACATTTTTATCAATGATTATTTTCTTTACAACAAATGGGAAACACAAAAGCACTCTGTTCAATGGCAAGGTCCATTCCCAATTTTTTTTTTCATCCAAGGCCTGCTTCATATGCTTCTAATGTTTTTTTTTTTACTTCTTAAGTTTTATAAAGGAATCTGTTGACCTTTTATTTCATGCCTCAAGGTCAGAAGGCATGGTGAGGGAAAACCTGTCCAAGTCCCTTGGATTTTGGGTACTTCCACAACAGATAGGTGCTCAAATTGCCCTGAATATCAACTTCTTTTCATGAAATATTGGGGACAATTCAAAATGTGAAGAACAATTATCCTATTTGAAAGCTTCCTTTTTTGATTCTCATACTACAGTATTTTTCTGAAAATATACCAATCCTACTGAAGCAGAGCTGAAACATTTGCTATGTGGGACAATGTTTGTCAGGCATGTCATTTTTTTCATGCTGCAATTTCTTTGATTTTCACACATGTTTTTTTTTTCAAACATGACAATGATTAATTTTGTGACACCAATAAGTGAGTTGGTACTGAATCGGGGATTCCCTTGGAAACAAAATGGGAGGGACATTTGTACTAGGGAAAATTGCGGCACTAAATTGAGGGCAAAATACAAACATACCCGTCAACTGAATTGGCCAGACAATGTAAGCCTGTGCAAATTCCGGGATGACGGCTCTCCGCACCACGTTGATGATGGCGAAAACCAAAGCTCCGCCCATGTACCGGTCAAAGGCTGACACTATGGAAAATGATCCAACGACCGAGCTGGAAACGATGCTCAACTGCAAAAAAAAACAGGGTTTCAAATGCAGAACTTTGAATTTCATTCAAACCAATAGACTCCTCAAGATACGGATGCCCCGACATATGGACAATTTGACTACAGCAGGGACACTTGAAACTTGAAATATGCGCCATTCAACCTTTTCTCAAGATATGGTCTACTTCTCAAACTTTATGAAATCCAAAATGTAAAATTTACTGCACTTACTTGAGTACCACAAGCCCTTGAATAAGACGCGCACCAGGGCTTTTCAGTCAAATTTGGTTTTAATACAATTCTGTATCAGACTAAGACACGCATTCCATTTTAGTGCCTCTACAAGTACTAGTTTTCAAGAATAAAAACAGACCAAAATTGGATTTTGACAGGATTTGATCTTAAATTCAACTACTGCACTTTTCAATTGATTCCATTACAGTTGGTCTTTTTTTATTGAAATTGGTCCAACATTTCCCATTAGAATCAAATATAATAAACACTTGAAGTTCTAAAACTTCTAAAAATGAATTTATCCCTGTATGCTGTGCAACTTCTTTTTTCCCTCTCAACTCGCAAACATAAAGGTACAAAAGCGATTTCGGTATTCTACAATATTTTGAAATCTCTTTAAAAAAAGTGAGCTATTCATTTTTTTTTAAATTGAGTGCATTATAAATTTACTTTAATTTGTAATCAAAATAAGGCTAATTGCAAGCTCTTTTTTTGGAGTCATTTTTCATCATCCTTGCTCAATACAGTAAGGCTTGTTCTTGTTATTTGCTTCTTGAGCTCCTTTTTTGATATTGAAAGATACTATTTGGTGTGGTTTTCTTCTGCACACTTATTTTAAGCATCAAAGTTGAGGCAAATGATTTTGATTCCATTTTTTCGGGGAATTATTCCAAATTTTTGATGAACCAATTAAATATTTTTGTATTTACTCAAACCATATGATTCTGTATGGTTTCCTTCCGCGCAGCTATTTTCTGCATCTTGGTGTTGAGAAACTTGAGATTCAATGTTTCAAGAACCTTTTTCCAAATTTCTGACGAACACGAGCACCCATTGGAAAGCACTGCCCAAGTTTACACGCCGAATTCCTCCATGACAAAAATCCAGGGGTTTTCAATTATTATTGCACTACATTTCGCACTCACTGCCACCATTTCAGAGAAGCATTAAATTGATTAAATTCGTCGACAAAAACGTCGAACATAAATGTTAACACAACAGCTTAAACAGCGAGAATAAATTCACAGAACGATAGATTTATAGAAAATTTTTGCCAAAACCCACAATATTTCGACGATCTTTTCATTTATTTTTTCATCATAACTAACCATTTTGGCATTGAAGGACAGCACGATCGGGACGACCAACGCCAGCGACGCAAACACAGCCCAGTAATTCAGGTCCAGTCTCATCGCAGAATAATTGGCTGTTCATGGTCGAAAAACGAAAAAAAAAAAGAATAGACCCAGTCAAGGGGTTTAACAACAAATTGAAAATTCGAAGATCGACGTCATAAAAGGAACATGAAAAAAAAACCTCACCAATAGGAGTATACAAGATTATGGACCCAATCAAAGCACCCGTGATCATCCCAGGCATGGTCACAACCAAAAAAGGCATTCCGCTCTTCTTCCACAATCCGATCCAAAAAGTGCCTCCTGCGACTCCAGTGGCCATTGTCATGATGATGAGAACTAAAATAATGAGCAATGTCAATAATGATAAATTTTGGCATCAAAACTAAACAACTCATGATGATCTCCATACCGGATCTTCCTGTGACAAACAATATCTAAAACAAACTTTACTTTCCCTCTTCTGACAGAACACAAAAGATTATGTAGCTGAATCTTGAAAAACTCGAACCTCCGTATGTTGAATATGTGAATCCCTGTCTGATTTCCGTCAGAAACAATGCATTAAAAAATCTCCCTCACTAGAATTTTCTGGAGGCCTATTGGCTATCATTTCATTGACACAGGAGAGAGAGAGAAAGCAATAAAAATGTAACTTGATGTGCGTTGAAAGAAAGTGAAGGACTAAATTGGGCAACGCAAATGAACCCTTTGCCTCCAAGATCAGTACAGTATACTACTTTCAACTCACTCAAGAAGCAATTTAAATACCAGAAATATCACCAATTAAAATCTCCTGTAGATTCTTTTATATTTCCAACAAAAAAAATGCTCATCTTCCCAACTTGAAATTTTCTGCAAGTCCCCTACAATTCAACTTTCTAAGCAAATCCCTGCAACTTTCAATGCTCATAGTCACCGGTATGATCCGGAAATATGAAATTCCGGAAGAAAATGTAGCCCATGAAGGAAAAGCCAGCAAACGCCATCAAAAACAGCTGCGTCTTGAAGAACCTGTGTCCTCTCAACAGCAACAGGGTTCCGCAAAAAATCGCCAAGGCACAAAGAATCCAGCTGAACACAGTATCTGCAAAAAAATATGTCCCCCATAGTTACACTGAAATATTGTAGCAACGCATTTTTTTTTATAACAAACTTTTTTCCAAGTCATGGCAGAAATCCTATAGGGTACAGGTTATACTGTTATAGGAACCTCATTACAACAAACTCTTCAATTCCAGTATAACAAACATTTCTTGAAGTACACGTCATGATTTTCCTAATGAAAAAGACCCCAATGAAGTCTAAAATTTCCATTCAAAATGTAACTGTGACTGGTTCTTGGGGAATAAATGGAAGGTGGAAGAAATGACGTAATTCTTAATAATGCACCTGAACATTCTCTCTTACAAAGATTTTTCCCACAGTTTTTCAAACACAAAAAAAAAATCTGCTGAAAAGGCCACACAGAGAGGATCTTGAATACTGGCAGAAACTAGGCCTCGGATTATTTTGTTGAAGATAAGATAAAAAAAATTGCGAAGGAATCCTTGCTCTAGGAAAAAAAAGCAAAATGCACTTGGGTTTCCATTTTTGGGAAACAAAAAAAATCATGGAAAATTTTTTGAAATTTGCCAAGATCCAGGAAATTTGATGCAAAAAACGACAAAGAAAAAGAACAATTTTCAATTTTTTGTCGTCCCTGAAAAAGTTTCAAGTTTCCAACTTGAACGGAGAACTCTCACTGGAACTGGAAAGCTTTCCCTCACCATTATGCAGTGAATCTACAAATGTTCATCAAAAGCTGAAAAAATCCCAAAACCTTACAATTGCATGGGCTACATCATATATATTTTTGTACATTGGTACCTATCCTAGAAATACTCCATGCCAATCAGAAGTGGGACAACCCTTGTATGCAGTTTTAATTTAAAACAATATTCCCAACAAAACTTTTTAAAATCTCGTAATAACAAATTATTCGTGATAGCAAACATTATTTGAAGTCCCTCCGAGTTTGTTGTAACGCGATTTCACTGTGCAAGAGTCTGAAAAAAAAATCCAGACGGAACTGTATCATAGAAATACAATTCGTAACAACTCACCGACAGCGTTACAATCCTCGCCGCCATTCGAAAACGGACGACACGAGTAGGTTACGATGGGAGCATAAGCAGCAGTTCGGGTCAAATTCGATTTTCGGGTCACCAAGACGGCGTAAATCATTCCCATGCCAGGAAATGCGTTGAATAAGACCTCGGGTCGCACATATGTCGTTATCTCCATCGCCTAACACAACAAATAAGGTTCAAGAAAAAAATCCTTTCAACTGTCTACTGTCAAAAATTCGTGCAGAAGGACTGTCTGATTCACACTTGCAGAATATTAAAATGTATGCTTCAAAACTTTCCTTCGTTGTTTCACAATTTTTCAGCGAATAGAACAGACCTAGTTTAATTGATATCCAGCTGAATTACAGAAGTCCGTGTCTTTTCATTTCCTTGGAAATTTAGCAACTCCCAAGATTTTAATTTACTTTCCGCATTCTCTCAAAGATATACTGTATTCAAGAAAAGACTTCAAGGAGTTTTTGCACTAATACATTTTTAGATGCATTGAAACCTTGCAGGACGGCCTCAAATAGCATCATCAAGTTTGAAATCCCTCATGGGTGAAACACTGGTTCTTGACTTCATTTTTGCAAAAAAGCTTTAAAAAATTTCGAATACGTGGCATAAATGAAGTCTTTCAACGAAACTTTTTTGAGTCTGCAAAAATCGTATAAAAATTTGAAAGTCCGCCGAATTAATTTTTTTTCAAATTCACCGGTCGACCAAAAAAATTATGGAAATTTCATGCAAAAACTGTAGGAAGATTTTCCAGTCCAGATTTTTTTTTTTTTCGAAATTCGTCGGTCCGCACAAATGTTTATGCAAATTTTCCGGTCACCGGGCCCAAAAGGGTAAGGGAACACTGGTCTACATCAACAGTAGACGAATATTTTGGACGAATAGAAAAATTGTAAAAGAGAGCAAAATGATGAGGAACAGTGGCTCAACTTGCATTAAAAAACAAAAAATGCGTACGGAAATCGAGAAAAGTTCAGCAAAGTTCACCTTGACACCCCGAGCGCGGATTTCTTCGGCAGTAACAAATACTTCCAAGTTGGAAAAATAGGTAGATTCCGAGACGTCGTTCTCGGGGAAGTCAAAGTAGAAAACTTCGTAGATCAATTCATCGAAGTCTCGGGCGAGATCACAGCTCAGGGACAGAATGCCTCCACCCGAGGAATATCCAGCTCTTTGAAAGCCTATCTGATTGATTTCTTCCGTGTAGGCGAGCATCAGAAACGGGGAAATCGCCACCGGAAACTCCATATTGCACCCACCGGGAATCGGATCTGAAAGTGAAATCAACGAGACACACTGTATTTTTTTAGTTAAAGAAACATGTACAAATCTTAGGTTAATCATGATTCTTACATCAATGCTGATAAGAAGCTCCGAGTTCTACATGAAACGAATACCATAAGGAATGAAAATATTGAATTAACCTGATTGTAAAGCAAACACAGTCAACCAAGCGCCACCTCGGCATAGTGTTACCAATTTCCCAGAGACAAATTCCACTCCGTTCTGTTCTTACGAGAACCCCCGATTTAGTTCCAAATCACTTAGCGCCACAAAAATGTCCAGTCATAAATTTGAAAAATTCCAAAATCAGAGAAATCAAGGAATATTTCTATACATATTATCAGGTTATTACTTAGAATTCACAAAAATAATGTGAAATTTATATTTCTGAATTTACATGTATTTGGTTGGTATTATCTGGATGTTGTCCACTGAAAAGACCACCAGAATAACTCAAATAGTCTATTTTTAAAAATGGAGAAATCACTCTACCTGATCTTGGAATTGCATGCTTTCATTGAAACGTTGATGCAAAACTGCATCAACCACTCTTTGACTTGACCCAATTTGTACAAAAATCTAATACATTGTGCAATCTTCAACTTTAAAATTCAGTAAAAACAGTTTATTCAAGCCTCAATTTATTTCAAGTGACAATGTATCTTATAAAACAAACTCAAAGGCCTGCTTGTACATTCAATCTTCAATTTAGGGCCATCCTTTGTAATGGCATGTTTTGTGACTCTAAGCAATGGTGCCACTAAATAAATGGTATTGTAAAACAAGAAGGCTTATATTGTAAGCGAAATAAGCCAACCAGCACTTATATTTTCCCAACCAACACCTACCATCAGCTGAATATCCAACCACAGCCACTAGGACTCTAATGGGAGCCACGTGGCCATTCATCACATAACCAATAACCGTGCCATTTTGCACATTGATCAGGGATCCAACGGGAATGGCAATGCCCACATTGTTGCCAGTCACTGCATTCGTCCCGTTGCCAAATGCATCCTGAGACAGTCTGACCGGCATGATTTGCGAGTGAGCTTGCAAAACGAGGAAGTCAACTTGGGCATCCAAACTGTTGGCAGCCAAAACGATGGCTGACCTTTCTCCGCCGTTCAGAGTAACATATTCCTTGATTGGTCCTTCGTCCAAAGCCCTCAGCTCAACATCTAGGACAAAATGAGAGAAAAGAAGTCAAGAATTTTAAAGGAATTCTTTCGTAGATTTGCTCCACTATGCTAGAAGTCAAAACACAATTTAGTGCCGCTGTTTGTCCTGGCACATTTTGTGGCACTAAGAACGGGTATTGCGTGAGAGAGATCCAGTTGAGGGTTTCCATTTTAGGAAAAAAAATAGACCAGCCAGCGTTTTTCATAAGAAAGAAAGACAAAATAAATAATTTGAAACTCAAAGCAACTGTTTTTATATTGTACACTATTTCAATGTATGTACCGTATTATCAAGGCAGAATATACGGAGTTAGATTTTCAAAGATATGATGTATAGTAAAGGATCAGAGCTGTTCCTCAAGATTTTGTGTTAATTTGAGGTAGTTTTAAATCAAGTACTGTATCATCAAGGAATCACCAATGCTACAAAAAAGTTTCCACTTCACATATTTTAATGAGGGAAGGTGTTCTGCAACCAAACATTTTTCCAACAATGCAAATTCAAAAATGGATCGTTCACAATTATTTTGAGTTTCATGCGAGCATGGGAATGTTATTCTCTGTTGTATGTCTTATAACCCAATGATATTTTTAGAAAAATGTATCAGTAAATTTAAATTCTGCTCCTTTTTTTAAACACAACAAAAAACATTTTGTGGCACTAAGTGAGTAGGCACTCATTTGGGTTTTCCCTGAGAACATAATGAAGAGGGATTTGTACCTGGAAAATTTTTGGCACTATGCAATGGGGACAATAAATGGGGGGGGGGGGCACTAAATCAAGGGTTGACTGTATTTCCCTGAAGAGCGCACTAGTGATCTCGTCAGCCATGGCAAACTAAGTGATGATGAAAATCAGATATTGATTTCATGCACATACGAAATATTCTAATGAGCCTCAATCTACCAATTCTGGCTTTTAAAAGTTGGAGAGGATGCCCAAATGAGTAACAATTACTTTCTTTGTACAGTGCAATCTCATTACAACAAACGCCCAGGGACCTGATGAAAAATTTGCCATAACAAATCTGAGTTGCATCGAGATTCATGATTTTCAATACATTCAACTCAATTTTTGTGGAGAATGGGCAAAAATTACATCAAAATGCTTTTAAAACAGAGAATTCAAATCCTGTCATAATTTTTTAAGTCTCTCTGATGAAATTAAGATTAAAATTGTTCAATATGCAGCATAATACTTTTCTATTCATTGAAAGTGCATCTCCATTCTCTGCTGAAGTGCCATTTCCCTTGAAAAAAGGTGATAACACAAAATAAAGCCAGATAGAAAGCCATTTCACTTTACTGTTGAGTTAAAAATGCGCATACTTCAAGCATCTTGAAATTTTCTGAAAATTGATCCTGAGATTATAGTACAGCAGTGAAATCTCTTAAAGTAAAATTCCAAGGGACCAGCATATTAGGCAAACAAATACTGTGTTCTTGTTGGGCAATGAATGAAGAAGTCCAAAATATTTTACCTGGTGATCTTCCCAGGTCTAAGACTGCTTTTTAAATGATTTGACAGGATGCTGAACTCGGAGGCAAGGGTTCATTTGCCCTGTTAGTCTTTCATTTCTTTCCAAAACACATCAGGTTGAATTCCTATTCATTTTTTCTTGCCTCTTGTCAATAGCACAATACCTGAAAGACTTCCAGAAAATTCCGGTTCTGTAGGTTTGAGGGGGACAGTCTTCAGATTTGAGAGGTTTTTAATGTATGGTTTTGAAGGGAAATCAGAGAGGGACTTTCAAAAAATTTCGAATGAACAGGTATTTGACTAAGGGAGCTTTAATTCATCAAGGATGAATCGTCCATCATGAACACAAAACAGTTTTGAAATTCATGAAAAATGTATAATCATCCTTTTTTTGCATAGATTCTCAGAAAAAAATTTGCAAGTGCACTAAAGAAACTATGGTAAATATTTTATCCAAGTATTTAGTTACAGCTGCTCACTTGACAAGAGAAATCAAGTCCCTTTTATTCAAATGGAGGACTCCAGCGATTCTCTGTCAGTTTCTGTGAAAATTTCCGTGGATTAGCAGTTCAAAATATATTTGAGGAGGACTATTCATTCAAGATGGTTCCACGTACTTCCGTCAGGAGGATTCCATGGCTTCCACTGGCAGGATGCCAGCTTTCAATTTCATGGAATGTTTCTCCCATACATTTAAGAAAGTCTGTCACAAATCTCAGTTCCTCATCTCATCATCTGTCTTTCTATAGAACTTCCATCACTAATTTTTTGAAAATGACGGAAACTGAACCATGTGGATAAACAGATTGATCTGCTTCCTGGCTTACAAAATATCAGTAGCAAAAATAGATATGGCCATGATTGAAACTGATTTTGAACAATCCTGTCGTCTACGACAAATTTGCAAGCTGGGGTTCAAAGGAGCCATAAGGCAGGCACTCAGCAAGCTTGAATTGAGATTTTGGAGTGGGGCAAAATCCCACAGTTTTTGTTGTTCCACTGCTCACTTCCACCTCCTGAATTTTGGGAATTAGCACATCCTCTTCTAGGCAGCATGAAGTTTGCTGGTGAAATTACTGGTCCGCACCTCATTTATACCTAAAAACAGCTGAGTGAAAGGAGTTGCCTGCCAGCGCCAACTTTTGTTATGCATTTTTTTTATTCTAACAGTTCTTGTAACCACGTTGTGGCACTTGGGACCAAAACATTACTGCACTGTATTTACTGGAGTATCACAAGCATCTTTTTTTTTTCACAAAAATGAGTAGAAAAAGCAGCTGTGTGTCATAAACTCATAAGCGGGTATACATTTCTCAAAAAATTTTTGCAGTATACTCCATTCGAATTGGACATTTAGGTCAATTTCAACCAGAAAAGCTCACTTTTCAGGAAATGATTTAAAATTTGTTGAATTCAAGTTCAATTCATGTTCATTTCCAAATTTGGGTGTCCTTATTCTCAACATATTGCAGTTTTAGATTAACATGAAATGAATTGCACATCTTAACCAGGGATACTATTTTACCAAGATTTTCAAATGAAAAACCTGGGCATGTGTCATAGAACAACTGAAGGGTGCATGCATGGTACTTCAGTAAATATGGTACATACCATTTGAAGGGAATTGAACATGCTTTTATTTTGAGTTTGTTTTTCTTATTTGTTGCAGCTGAATTTGCTACCAAGCTATTGCAAATCAAAAATCAATTCAATTTTTTTGGCCCACCCTGTAAATACAATTACAGTATCCAAGGTGCATGTAGCGGAACGTCGATTCAGTTCCACACGCAATTGAGATCAAAACGAATCACGCGAAGTCGTTTTTCGCGAAACATTTCTGCAAGTCCCACTCACCAAAACCGTGCGATATGCAAACAAGGCACGATGAGAGCGTCACAAAAGCGATCAAACTATTCACGCGCATTTTTAATCGACTGCGCGTTTCTTTTTCAACTCGCCATTATGACGCACAACACAGCCTGAAAGCAAAAATTCCGACGCTGTTCAAGGAAAAAATAATAACACTGTCCAGAAAAAAAATTTCATAAAATAATTCCACGCAGATGCTAATTTTTTTTTACACACCAAACTGGAAAACATGCTTTTGTTCCACACCCCACACAAACGCGTGCTTATTGCATTCGTCTCAAAATATACCGCGTAAAATGCTGCGAGATCACGAATTTCGGAATAGCAGAAGTAAAAAACGAAATCTACGTGATACGCATTCCCATTTCGATCACGCCTTTCTGTACCAACAGTAAAATCTCAATACAGTATAACAAACTTTTTGGGGACTTCAGAAACAGTTCATTAGACTGAATAATGTATTATAACAAGATTTTCAGAATTAAAATCACCAGAAAATATTTTCACATTAGACATGCCTGTAATCAATCATAGATCTTGATTTTCTCCAATTCTCCAATTTTTTTCATCATTTTTGAAAACCTGAGAGTCCTTCTAGTGAAAAATTAGCTTCAACCATGCATTCCATCAGTTGCACCAATCGCTTTACTCTAGGCAGATGATGTGAAAATCTCTTCATTGTGGGAGGATGAAGTGTGGAACCTCTCGGAAGCATGTTTATCACTGAGTACAGCTTGCATTCATGCTACAATAAGAATCAGTCCGCCAAATTTGGGATCAGAAATTTCAGACTGAAGGAAATGTATTGTAATTTTTAAATTCATCAAAAAAGTTGTAATACTGGAATGGAGAAGTATTTTATAAGATTATTTCAACATTTACTCCATGGGCTTCCTTTTGAGACTGGAAAATAAGATCATTTTTCAGATGGACTTGCTCTACAAAAATTCAAGAAAACCAGAAAAAAAAATCGCTGAAGAGGGAATTTCCTCATAGAGAACCACAATGCAGAAAAACAGAGAAAGGACCTTATAGGACAGAACAAAAATCCGTTATACAGTGAAAATCGTTCTGGACAAGATCGTTATAGAGAGTGCACTTCTAAAAAAAAAAAATTGTTTTACCGGTGTTTGTTTGGTTGTAAAGAGATTTTACTTTGAGACAATAAATCCGAGCTTTTTCTTTTTGTTCAAGTGTCGACGAAAATAACCGCGTCCTGATCCTGCGACAAAATCAAAGGATTTTCAATTTTCTCCACGCAATCATCGGAATCGGGCAAAAGCTCAGAGACCGACTCAATCTTGAGCTGAATGATTTGCGATGTTTCCTCGGGTTTCGCGGTACTGCCGACGGCGCAACGAAGACCTTTTCCTCGTCTTCTACTACGTTTCGTCGTTGGTATCTTCTTCAGGTACCTGCCGTACCAACCAGGCTGAGGAAGACTAGGTATCGACGATGGTTGTTGTTCCTTCGTCACCGAGGTTTTGGCAGGAAACTCCACGCCTTCGTAGGGATTCACGCCTTCGGGAACGGATCTGGTTTTATTCAAGAAAAAAAAAATTAAACTGAAGAAATCTCTTGGACGAAAATAGCACAGAGGAACCACAAAATACGGGAGATTCGGCTAAGATACAATTAAAACTGACAAAATATGCTCCGACATCCACACGATTCCTTCAGATTTGGACACTTCTTCACCATTCCTAAAACGAGGAAAAATTATTTTTCTGAATTTTGAAATTTCAAACAAATAGAGCTATTTTATATACAGTACAGTATGTGACAAACAGCACTTCAGTAGAGAACTAGGTTCACTGAAAGGAAAACACTATATACACGTGGACACTCTCCACAACAAAATGCAGGGGTACCAGAAAAAAATTTCGTTGAACAGAGAAAATGGTCGTCGACAAGATTCCACGTGCTTTCAAAAAAAATTCTATGTGATTTCACAAGAGAGACTTGAAAATTACATGTCTTAAATTATCTGTTTTTGAAGCACTTCACAGTATTCATTACCGATTTCCCACAAAATGTCTGTCTAAAATGTGTTCAAAATCAAGGATCTCAGTACAACGAATTTTTCGTTACAATGAATTTTTAATCAGGTCCCTGGAAGTCATTCATGAAGTGACTGACGGACTCACCGGAACAAGGCGACATGTTTGAAGTACCCACTCGGGGTCCAAGAGGCAGACGTTGAATCTTCCGCACTCGAAGAAACGTCATTTTCCGTCTTCAACGACGACTTCTTCACCTCCACTTCAATTTGTTTCTCGTACCAGTTATTGGCCTTGACAGAGGTAACTTTTTCCCAGGGATGCAACGGAGTCGCAGTGCGACGCAAGGGATCACCCCATTGAGAGGGATACGGCGGAATATTCACTTGGAGTTTCTCCATGACCAACTTCATAAAATCATCACAACGAGCTGCCAAAAAAAATTGTATACTGTACTATACTGTACTGTACATAGATATATTTAAATACTGTATACAGTATTTTACATGTAAAGTATATACAGAGAAACATCCAAAAGCCGCCACCAATTGACCGGGATGGCGGCTAAAAGGGAGTCGGTGGCTCATTGAAAAAAAAAGCCAAAATAAGTTACAGTGAATAATTTGTTGAAATTAGGTTTTCAAATTTAACAACTGGAAACAATTTTCCGGAATCCAAATTTGGAGATAAGTTCAACCTTGATTCAATCAATTTTTAATTGTTTCGATTTTTAGAAAGTTCCCGTCAAAATTAGCCAATTACATTCGAGTGTGTTGCGCTCTCAAACTTGAAGCATTGTTCGAAAATTTCATGATGCACCCCCTTTTTCTCGTCAATTTCCAGAGAAAAGGCGCGCCCGGTGCTCAAGTAAATACAGGCGCATTCAACATACATTTCATGTTTGCCTTTCATATGGAATAATTCATCCTCTGATTGTAAGTTATAAAAAGTTAGGGTGATAGGATAATACCCATATTCACTCGAGTACCACACGCACCTTTTTTCTTAAATTTCAGCAGAACAAACGGGTGCGCGTCATAAGCAGGTACAACTTTTTCAAGAAGTTTTAGGAAGTTATATGTGCATTATACTTAATTATAATGGAGACATTTCGAAAAAATGTAACAAGAGAAACTTTTTTGTGCTGAAAAAGTTGAAAATTGATCCAATTTTTGTTCAATTCATGTCTGAAGTCAAATTTTTTTTAAATTTATTTTCGAAATTTTGTGGTTTTAGATTCACAAAAATTGAGGTGCGAGTCTTACTCAGGTATAAGATTTTAGCCAAATTTCCAACTGAAAAACCCCTCTGCGCTTCTTACTTGAGGACGCGTGGTACTCGAGTAAATACAGTAAATACGGTAACAATTATATTATTTTCGGGGGAAACAGATAAGAGTTCATCTATTTTATCAAAAACGAATACGTAGATCACAGTGATACATGTAATTTTCCGATTGAAAAGTCTAAGAATAAAATCACAGCGTCGTCAAAACTCTGAACATCGAAACAGGACTGAGAAATGCAAAAAACCAAATTGATTAACGAAAAACTTACCATGTAATTTCACGGAACAGCATTTGTCCTTCGGGGTCCACTGGAGATTGACAATGAATAAATCGGGTTTCTGCTTAGCAGACCTTTCTCTTGCCCAAAGTCGTTCATAAGACTTGAGCACCTGGAATATTGAGCCATCAATTTAGTTAAATCTAACACTGAAAATAAAGTTATGCTTTATTTTCAAGCGGAATTGCCAGAACACACAAAAAACACTTGGTTGAATTCCTCTCAATCCTTTCCGATCAATTCGAGATAGATAAATAAACTGAATTTATTTACACGAGAATTAACGCAGCAAGGAAGTTCTCATCATACCATTCACGTAGTGGGGGCCCCCGACATACGGACAATCATTAGACATAGGGATAGTTGAACCTGAAAAAAAATATTTCCCCAACATACAAAAAAAAAAAACTTCTGTAAAACCGGAAAAATTAATTTTTGGTCTATTTCCAACTTTGACACTTCTTTAAAAATTGAGTTTCGGTACTTCTACTGTATTTAAAAAAAATTCAAAATAAATTTCATTATGAATTCACTCCACTTGATAATCCAAAAAAAGAAAATGTTGGTCTTTCTTTTTTATTGGGGCCTTTTCCCATTGTCTGTGTACAGCATGGCAAGACGTGTACTACTTATTTGCATTGCAAGTTTCTTTTCATGCCAAAAAGGGCAAATTCTGCGTTGTTTTATTCCACACAGTAAATTTTTGCATCTTGCAATATTAAAAAATTTTTTTTATGGTATTTCGAACACTTTTACTATGGGAAACGGGATCCGACATGCGGACGTCTTGAAACAATTTGGACAAGGACCAAGAACGAATTACGTCCGCATCTCGGCGCCTCAATGTATTTCTTGCTAAAAATGGCACCAGAGAATAAAAAAAGGATAATGAGTCAAATAAAAGTACACATACTCCGGAAAAAACCCCAGAACACACGATTCACCCTCACCTTCAAACTGGATCCGAGACAGAGAATCAAATCCACATCGTCCATGATGGCATCAATTCCTCTCCAATTCAACGGCCACATGATCTTCCCTCGCTCTCCGAAATGCACTATTGTGTCTTTCAGATCATTTCCACAGTAGTAGCACTTCCTGCCAGTCTTGTGGTTGAACCGACCGGTTTTTTCTGTCACGTCGAAATCACGAACATATTCCACCGGTGGTCGGCATTTGAGACATGCCTGCAAGAAAAAATAAAAACTTGTTTCAGAGCAAAAAGAAAAGAAAGTCAGTCACTTTCACGGAGAGACGAGTTTGCTTCCAAATAATCAAATCATAGTTGAACCTCGATCGCTCGAACATCCCTACGTCGAATCTTTTCCAAGTCCCTGCCTGATTTCCCTGCGAAACACTTCATTAAAATTTAAAAACCACCCTCACTCTTCAACCTCCATAAGTCGAATTTTCTGGAGGCCTTTCAACTATCATTTTTATTGGCACAGGAAAGAGAGAAACTATAAAAATGGAACTTGATGTGTTTCGAAAAAAATTGAGAAACTAATTGGGCAAATAAACCCTTGCCTCCGAGTTCAACATCCTGTCAATTCATTCAAGAAGCAATTGAAGGCCCAGAATATCACCAATTGAAATTTCCTTTAGTTTTTCCCTATCTTTCTTTTAAAACAAAAATATTCGTTTCCCGGGTTGGATTTTATTTATCTTCCATTCCTTGGAGTTCGACTTGAAAAGGTTGAACGGTACCGACAAGGGAACCAACCTCAATGTACATGTTCCCGTGGACTTCAGACATTTTCCGTCGCGGGACGCCGCTTCTCAAATGCAACCCATCGCAGTTCTGCGAAACAATGTGTCGAATGAGTCCCAAGTCGACCAACTGCTTCAATGCCATGTGACACATCGTCGGAGTAGCACCTTCCAGATCGTGTATCCTGAAAATACAAATTGATCGTAAGAATTTACAAAATGATGTCAAGATAAATTAAATATCCAGATTGACAAAATAATCAAGAAGATGATAACGCCTTCAATAGGTTACAACGTGCATCTTTTTTTTTCTCAAAACTGAAGGAAAAAGAACGCGCTTCAAATGCGGGTATGAAGTCTTAAAAAGTTTTAGAACTTTAGGTGAGCATTACATTTGATTCAGATAGTAAACTGTGGAGCAATTTAAACAAAAACACTTATTTTAACGGATATAATTGAAAACTAATTGAATTCCGATTGAACGCGTGTCTGAATTAAAATTTGCGCGTTCTTGATGCGAGGTACTGGAGTAAACACGGTAATTGAATTTTTGGGCATGATGATAAAACTTCTCCGGATAACTCATTAGCTCAGAATTAAGTCAAAATATTTCCAAAAAAAAAAAAGGTTCACCTATATACCTCCCGTAACATGTCTCAGCTTCAGTGTTTCCCAGAGTTTCTTCCAGGTCTACAATTACACCTTCCATGGAATATGAATGAATGAATGAATCTTACCTAATAAAGTTACTTGCGTTCCTCCGACAGTAACGCTGTTTTCAGTCCCTTCCTTCCTGCGCCCTACCTCCCTCCCACAGAGCCACCCAGAGGCCTGCAGGAGGGTCCCGTTTCCCGACTTTTTAAATTCAAAAATTTGGCAAAAATTCAATTTTCAAGCAAACCTCATTTTGAAAAGAGCATCCACAGCGCCATGATGTTTGCTACATTTCTGTTTTTTAAATTTCAAAATTGCTTGAAAATTGACTAAGTTACAATGAAAAACGTAAAAAGATTTTTTAGAACCAGACGAATATCGCAAAAAATTAATTTTACTTTCTTAATTTTAACTGTGCAATTTTGAATCATTTCAAAAAGACAAAAATACCTAAATTCTTAGAACATCCCTGTGCACATTTTCCTTCAAAAGTTTTGAAATTGAGAGAATATTACAAAAATTACAATGAGCTAAAGTGAAAAAAACGGACTTTTTCGAAAATTCTGTTTTCTGTTTTGGCCAATTTAAAAATGTGGCAAAAATTCAATTCTTTATCAAAATTACTTTTGAAAACTTAATAAGAAGCATCATGATGTTTTCCACATTTGACATTTTTAAATTCAGAAATAACTTGAATATTGACAAAGTTACAATGCAACACACAAAAAGAATTTTCAAAATCCTATGAAAAGCGCAAAAACTTAATTTTACTTTCTTTATTTTAACTGTAAGATTTTCCATAATTTCAACAAAACAAAAATACCTAAATTCTCAGAACATCCCTGCGCACATGTTCCTGCAAAAGTTTTGAAATTGAGAGAATATTACAAAAATTACAATGAGCTAAATTTTAAAAAACGGACTTTTTCGAAAATTCTGTTTTCTGTTTTGGCCAATTTAAAAATGTAGCAAACATTCAATTCTTAATCAAAGTTACATTTGAAAACATTAAAAAAAGTGCCAAGATGGTTGCCACATTTTTCCTCATTTAAATTTGGAAATAACTTGAGTATTGAGAAAATTACAATGAAAAACACAGAAAACAGTTGAAAACCCATAAAAAAATTGCCAAAAATTATTTTACTTTCTTAATTTTAAGTTACATTTTCCATCA